CAAGTATCACAGATCGCATGCTGATCCATCGTTGTTTTGTGTGTTTATACAGATCGGCATAAGTGTTTACCTGGTGCTTCCTGTTTTAGGTTTTCGTTTCTGATACAAAAATAAAAAATTTCAAAACAACCTCACAGATGTATGGAAGCTATACTGGATTTTCAAATTGTAAATACATTGCAGAATTTGAGAAAAGCTTAAAAATAAAAAGAATAGTAAGAAAAAACGCCGTAAAATTATCCACAGAGGCGATTTTAGATCCCAAGAAGTTTCTGAAGTATATCGAGGAAATCAGATCAAAGCTTAGTTTCAAAAGACACCACCAGGACCTATGAAAAACAGGCCTAGATGTACATAAATTATAAACCACTTGACTAATTATGTTTTTGGATCCTTAACGAGCTTAAAGAGTCTTCAAAGCCTTTACAACAAATTTGATTTAAAATTTTTTAAATTGATGGTGAAAGACGAGACTATGTCTCATCAAATATTTACTTCTATCGCAATAAAGAACTGCACTAAAATGCCTATTATATAAGATCAGCCTGTGATGCATCTTTATAAATAGGTGACCTTGAGCTTTTCATTTCTGTCGTACTCTCGCACCTCCTTGATCCATTTCAGTCCAAACACATCGGGATGAACCATATGGATTGCAACCATGTTTACTAGCTGCAATATCGATACTATAAGACTGTTTATGGCCATCTTCCTTTCTACAGCTGACAGGACAAACGATTTCATAAAGCAGACCGTATTTGACCCCGAGTAGAACACAAAGCTTATGAAAATCAAAACAGCCAGAACTCTAAGCTTTTGCCTTGCCCCAATCAAGTTTACGGTCATCTTTTGGATAAAGTCGCACAGGTTGCCAAGAATAAACAATGCAAAGATTCCCAGGCAAATGTTTGCAAAGAGACAGGTAATGACTATTCCGATATTGAAGCTGAAGTAATACTGCTCCGAAAGCTCAACATTGTCGGAAATGTACTCGCTGTGCTTAATGCTTCCAAGGAGCATTGAAATGCTTGCAAGACCAAAGATGACGTTTCCGTAGTTTTCGTTGATCATCGCAAGGGCCCTGAACGATAATATAAAAATACTTGGCTAGACACTGCACTCCCTCGGCGGGACTCGAACCCGCAGTCTTCTGCTTAGAAGGCAGACGCGTTAGCCATTACGCTACGAGAGATGTCCAAAGTCAGCTGTGTTCCCAAGACTGCAGCACTTATCCTAAACTAGCATCCAAGACGTCTTTAACTCTGCAATAATTGATGGTTCAGTCACGGCAATGTGCAGGTGCAGCGCAACTAAATACTTGGATGGTCCGCAGCTTGAGGTTCAATGGCGCAATCGGTTAGCGCGTTCGGCTGTTAACCGAAAGGTTCTGAGTTCAAGTCTCAGTTGAACCGAAACTTTCGTTTTTGGTTTATTTTTAATACAGGCTGGTATGGCAATGCATATGATAGAGCTGAATACAGCGTTCCAGTTGATAGAAATGCCATGGATTGCGCCAGCAGCATATAGTATGCCATTGGCGGTGGAGCCATCATCACATGGATGCAAGAAGTTAGCAGAGTAAAGTTCCTGTGCATTGGGGGATTCATTGAATCCTTCTTTTGCTCCTTCGTTCTTTGCAGCCCATCTGATGGGTTCCACAAATAATGAGGTAGAGGATATACTCAAAAGGCTGCATATTTCTGACTCAAAAATCGAAGAGCTCAAGACAAAGCCGCAAGTTCTCAGGAATATCGAGAGAATAAACCAATCAACAGCCAACTTTACCAAGATGCACTATGCCTTGGCATGTACTGCACCCAAAAATGCAGATCTGGCCAGAATAAGCGGGCTCATTGACAGAGGACTGATACAACACGACAACATGCTCAGAGGAGTGTATAAGGCGATGGAAAAGAATCTTTCTGACGACGAAGTCGTTGAGTTTATACGAAGAAACGACTATCCCAGAGAAGCAATACAGAAAGCACTGGACGAGAAGAAAGGGAAGGCAAAGAAGGATATTCTCAAAGAGATCAAGACAGAAATGCCCTATGCAGACTTCAAGATTGTGATGGAAATGGTTAATGGAATGGGAGAGCCTGGAAGTGTCCCCAACATAGATGGAGACAGTGCAGATGCCAGCACAGGTGCTATTAAAGATTGGCTGGACGAGGGCGAGATAGCTAGATTGCACAGGCCTGGCGAGAATCCCCAGGTCTCTGAGGAGATTAGACAGGCTCATCTTGAAAGAACTAAGGGCAAGGTTGTTACTAGATTTCCCCCCGAGCCTAACGGCAATCTCCATATTGGACATGCCAAGGCCATCAATCTTAATTTTGAATATGCTGAGAAATTTGGCGGATACACATATTTGAGATATGACGATACTAATCCCAGAAATGAATGCGAGGAGCATTTCGAATCTATCTTGGAAGATATAAGATGGCTGGGATACGAGCCCTATGCCATTACTAGCTCTAGTGACTACTTTGACAAAATGGTTGACTATTCATTTGATCTAATTAGAAATGAAAAAGCATATGTCTGCCACTGCACCCTCGATGATATACGAAACAGGAGGAAGCAATTTCAGAATGAAAGAGACTCTGGAAACTGCGACGCAACGATTCTAAGTCCGTACAGAAACAGGAGTGTCAAGGAGAATCTTGCGGAGTTCCAAAAAATGCTGGATGGTAAGTATGGCGAGGGCGAGGCTGTTTTTCGGTTTAAAATGAATCTTGAGTCCAGAAATCCGCTGATGCTGGATCTTGTAGGATCTAGAATCATTAACCTCAGCCATCCCAGAAAAGGCAGAAACTTCTATGTCTATCCATCGTATGAGTTTGCTCTGTGCGTTTCTGATTCGCTGGAGGATGTTACGCATAGCTTCTGCTCACGTGAGTTCTATACCAGGCAAGAGCCTTACCATTGGCTACTGAAGAACCTTGGCCTGTACGAGCCTGTGCAATGGGAGTTTGCTAGACTTAATCTCAGCAATACTGTTCTTTCCAAGCGTAAATTGACTGAATTGGTCAAAAGAGGTATGAGCTGGGATGATCCCAGATTCTACACTATTAAGGGCATGAGGAGGAGAGGATTTACACCAACAGCAATCAACAGCTTTGTAAGGAGTGTTGGCATTACCTTTAGCGAGTCCATCATTGATGTAAAAATTCTTGAAAACTTTGTGCGGGATGACCTGAACAAAATAGCTAAAAGAGTATTCTGCGTACGGGAGCCATTGAAATTGATAATTAACAATCTTCCAAAGAAAAATGTTGAGTTGCCCGTTCAAACCGGCAACGAGCACAAGGAGACCGTAACCGTTGAGGTAAGTAAAACGGTTTATATCGATAGCGCAGACTTCAGCGAGGAGCCTTCTGATGGCTTTCTGAGACTAACCAAGACTAGTCCCGTTGGATTAATCAACCTAGGAACGGTCAGATTTGTTGAGAAGACTAGCGATGCCATTGTGGTTCAGTTAGTTGATGAGAAGCCATCCAAGCACATCCATTGGGTGCCGAATCTTAGCCATAAGGTGGAGCTGAGGCTTTACAGACCCCTATTTAACTCCTTCAATCCTGAAGAGAAAGGCTATCTTGAGGATATTAACTTTGAAAGTCTGGAGATTGTCGACGGATACTGCGATTCGAGAATTTTAGGATCTAAGAATCTGGACAAGATCCAATTCGTCAGATTTGGGTATTTCTGCTGTGACAAGGACAGTAGGGATGACCACTTGGTGTTCAATTTGACTTTGCCCTTGAAAAGCTCAATTTAAGTAAATCTAGCCTTTCTTTAACTGATGCTGAGTTGATCTGTCTTTTAGTGCTATTTGCCTACCGTTTCGTATATTAATTTGTGCAGAGTCATCCAGTGCTCATGGCCAAGCAATGCTGTGATACGCTTTTTAATGTGTAAATTTTTACTCCTAAAAATGCCAGAGCCAATGGACAAATCACTAAAAGAAAAATTCGGAGTAACAGTCATGGAGTTGACAGAAAAGCTCAACGATCCAACCAAATATAACGACACACTCAAGAAGATATGCACACTGCAGTCTATAGAAAATCTCTGCTATCTTCTTCACCACCTTAGATCCTTTGTCGGAGCACATCCATTTAACATTAACATATTTAAGGAAGGGATAAACGCCTCCTGGGAAGACCAAAACAACGTCTCTGGATGCAGCTGGAGTGTTCAATGCAAGCCCGAGTATTCAAACGCCCTCTTTGAGAGACTCACAGTCTACTTTACGATGAGGGGATTTAGGAACTTTAAATGCAATGGAATATCAGCAAATATAAGAAAAAATTTTGTAAAGTTTACAGTTTGGTCAGGAAATGTGCCCTCAGTTGCAGACGGCTCGGATGTGCTGGATGAGATCGGAGAGGCCTTTGGATTTGGGACTCCTGTGGAGTTTATCTACAAAAACCACAGAGATCTCGTTGAAAAAGTTGTTGGAAGCAGTTCCACGAATGAGAGAGAATGAATACTTTGATGACTTGTTTAACTATTTTTATGAATAAATTTTAGCGTCGTACATGGCAAGTTGAGTGTTTGTGTCTCCCCTAAACAAAGGCGCATGGTTGGAACGACCTGTGGTCTATGCAAGTATTGACAGACCAATCAGCTGGCTAATATGAGTGCTTCAGGGCACATGGGATGATGTCTCGAAAACAAGAGCCGGAAATCCACTTTAACACGCATTCAATGCAACGGTGTTGTCTGCACGGATTGCATCGGCACTTGCTGCTTGTTGAATTATATTGGAAATTTTGGTTTTTAATCTTGAATGTTTTCCTACCCTCATGAAAAGATTTGAGAGACCGCAGCTTAACTACGACTATTCAGACTTGGAGCCCTCAATTGATACTGAAACAATGAGGATACACCACACCAAGCATCACCAGGCATATGTCGATGGCCTGAACAAACTTTCTGATGCAGTCCCGCCCAAGATATCTCTCCAAAATCTGCTTAATGGGCTAATGGAAAACGAGGGCATCAAGCCCGACGACAGGGAGATCCTAGTAAAGTTCGGAGGTGGGCACTACAACCACAGTCTCTTCTGGGAATACCTAAGCAAAGGCAGTAATGTTTCTGACATCAGCAACTTTCTTTTTGACAGAATCAAGGCTGACTTTGGATCTCTCGAGGAACTGCAGAAGAGATTTGACGAGGCATCAGTAAAAGTCTTTGGAAGCGGCTGGACATGGTGGGTGTACGACTATTCGCAGAACAAAAGCTACATAATGACTACAAAGGATCAAATGAATCCAATAATGTTGGACAAGAACCTTGTGTGTCTGCTTGGCTTGGATGTATGGGAGCATGCATATTACTTGAAGTATCAGAACAGAAGGGCTGAGTATGTCCAAGAATTTTGGAATGTTGTAAATTGGAAGGCTGTGTCATTGATCCACGACAAAGTCGTTTTGAACAAGAAGACGCTCGAAGTCACCGATAATGGCTACCTAAAATTTGAGTAAATCTATTTAAAATTAATTTGCTTGAAACAGGCATACCTTTAAACTTAATTTTTAAAATAACGTGTCGGCCATCATAATTCCAAACAAGCTCTGGACAGGCAAGTACATGCATGCCATTCCCAAAACTTCCAGATTATCCTTTGTTTTGCAGTTCCTATCCTCTATATTTGCTCTAAAAATTTTTACTCCACGATGGAAGACTTTCATCTTTCTTCAGAACGATTTTCTTTTGACGAGGATAACATAGCCAACAGACTGACCCTCACACCCTCTCAGATAGATCTAAGCTCGAACATCACACAGTATGCTGACAGCGAGAGAATAAAGCTGATTTGGGGCACTACAATTAACATTCAAAATACAATCGAAAACTTCAAGGAGTTTATAAGAAGAAGCACGAAGTATGTTGAAATGCTCACGAATATTAATCTTACAAGAGTGTTCGTTATGCATTTAGACTGTGCGGAGCTTGAAGAGGCTTTATTTCTGGAGCTTCTCTCGTATCCCCAAGAAGTAATCCCGCTCTTCCAAAGCTGTCTTGGTGAAATCTATATGGAAATGTTTTTAGAGCAGCCAGAGGAAATCAAAATCAGGCCATATAACATTGGAAGGCCTCTCAGTATCCGAGATGTTGATCCTAAGGATATTGACAAGATTGTATCGGTGACTGGAATGGCGGTCAGGACATCTTCCATCATACCGGAAGTTAGAAGAGCTGTGTATTTCTGTGTTAAGTGTACCAGGCGCGTGTCTGTGGACAGCATTAAAAATATCATCAATGAGCCGACCATCTGCGAATGCGGAGAAAAGTATGTGTTTGAACTAAGACACAACGAGGGAGATTATATCGACAGGCAAGTAGTCAAGATTCAGGAGCTGCCAGAATGTATTCCCGATGGAGCCACTCCATCCACAATTACTGTTATCTCAAAGGATGATCTGGTGGATAGTCTCATTCCGGGAGATAAGATCACAGCTATTGGAATTCTAAGGGCTGTGCCAGTAAGGGTAAGTCCCAACCTCAAGAAGCTCAAAAGTTCGTTCAGAGTGTTCGTAGAGCTACTTTCTGCCACTGTTTCAAATAAAAAACACGAAGACACAACAGACTACCTCTCCGAGATTGATCGACTGAGAAGACAAAAAAACATCTATGACATTCTGACAGCATCGATTGCCCCTTCTGTCTATGGTCTTGAAAATGTAAAGAAGTCGCTATTGCTACAGCTTTTCGGCGGGGTTTCCAAAAACCTTAAATCTTCCCGACTGAGAGGCGATATTAATATTCTATTGGCTGGTGATCCAGGTATATCGAAAAGCCAGCTACTGAGTTTTGTGCATAGGATCTCTCAGCGGGGAATGTACACCAGCGGGCGGGGGTCCAGCGCAGTGGGTTTAACTGCCAGTGTATCAAAGGATCCTGATAGTGGGCAGTATATCCTTGAGAGCGGTGCGCTGGTTCTTAGCGATAAGGGGGTCTGTTGCATTGATGAATTTGACAAAATGAGCGACTCAACAAGAAGTGTGCTTCACGAAGTCATGGAGCAGCAGACAGTCAGCATCGCCAAAGCCGGAATCATCACTACCTTGAATTCACGATGCTCGATATTGGCCAGCTGTAATCCGGTCGAGAGTAAGTACAATCTGAAAAAGAGCATTCTTGAGAATATCAACCTGCCACCTACTCTTCTGAGTCGATTTGATATTATTGCTGTTTTAATTGATCGGCCCGACGACAAGCTTGACAGGAGAGTTGCCGAGCATATTCTAGATATGTATGCTGGTGAAAAGGAGGAAAGTAGAGGAGTCTCGCCTGGTCTTCTCAAGGCGTACATCAAGGAAGCCAAGAAGATCACTCCAGTGTTGACTTCGCAGTCAATCGACGCTTTGGTGGAGGCATATGTGGATCTAAGACAGCTAGACAATGGCAAGACAGTTACTGCCACAACACGGCAGCTTGAAAGCCTCGTAAGACTTTCAGAGGCGCATGCAAGAATGAGGTTCTCTTATACAGTTGATATTGTTGATGTGAAAGAGGCAATAAGACTGATCAAAGAGAGTCTTTTGCTCTATGCTCTTGATCCGAAGACTGGAAGAGTTGACATCGATATGGTTATTACTGGAAAGAGCGCATCAGAGGGCAAGCACATTGATATGGTCTGTGAGAGTGTTCTAAAACTGGTAAAGAAGAAGACAAGCTATGCAGAGCTTCTTGCAACACTTGGTGTTGAGGAACGCATCCTCAGTGAAGCACTTAGGGAGCTTGATGGCGAAGAGGTTATTGTGTATGACAAAGTTAATGGAACAATTGAAAGAGTCAAATAAATTAAGTCCATTCCACACTTGAGAATGTTAAAGAATAAAGATGCTTGGCCGCACTGCTTTGTGTTGAGTGGTGGCTATCAACTTTGCCATTAAAAATTTTACAGATGTATTAACTTCAAAGATGATGCAAGCACATAGGAAAGACAAATAGCTTATTGTACAACATTTAAATTAAAATCTTATTTTAATGTCATTAATACAAAGCCTGTAGTAGCTGGCGATGAACCATAGTATATTTGTGAGGTATTTCCCATTGTGCAAATTTTTTATTTTGTGATGGATTTGAGATTAATGAAAGGTATTTGCCAATGGATCAATCAATATTGATTGTATATGGAAAAGTGCTGTGGCGATGCGAGTGTTCTGCCAAAAATGTATGCTTTCAAAATAGACATCTGTGCTTCTGCCGTATCAGCAGTGACCATATCTTAATATCACATGGCTAGCACGAAGTGGACATCATGTGTGGGCAGGTGTCCTCATAATCATCATGAATGTAGCAAGCACATGCGCACACTGTCCGTGATACGTATGTTTCTATAACACAAATATGGTCTTTGTTTACCTTTAAGCTAATTAAAAATTCATATCATTATGAGCCCAATGAAGGAAATTGGCATAGTGTCGGTGTTTGTTTTTAAGGCCAATATAGGCTTGTGATTGTAATATTTATTGAATCTTTTAAATAATCTTTGACATCTCATGGCTTTTGTTGATGTTCTCAATATTTTGACATTAAGTTCCCTTAATTTATGTCAAAATCATGTGTAAATGCGAGCAATACAGCGCATGTGGCACTGCCACTTGCATTCGCCCTATCTTCATGCAATGCTCTGCGCTAACCATATAAAAATTTTTAAGGTATGCAGCTTCTTGCATTTTATGTTACTTGTATTCATTGGATAAATAAAAAAGAATCAAAACATAAAATCAGCACTTTATTATATGAATGCTAGTTTCCACAGCATTGGCACATGCCAGGAGTGTACCACAAGCAATGCCCATAAATACACTGTGTATTTAGAGTAGCAACCTTATTTCTTTTTGTTCTCACACTTTTCTCAGTAATTAATTTAATTGATGTATTAAATTCAAAAATTCATATTAAGCATGCTATCTTTTGTTACATGAGTGCCGTGCAGTCTTATCAGCCTTTTATCTCATCCTTCTTCGCCTGTGCTGTCTTTGAAGCTTACCTTAAAGTTAATTATCGAGGCACAACACAAACATTTCAGAGAACAGGGAAAAATGAAAAAGTATGGGCCTGCACACAGTCGCGTGTATTTCATCCTCTTGCAACCAAAGCGGATTCTGATAGCCAAAGAATTAGGTTTGACATCAGAGTTCTAATCACAAAATTTACTCTTTGATTTGAGCAGGTCTCAATTTTTTCACTATTTAAAAAAAAATCAAGTTTTACCCTGAGATGAAGCTTAACTCAGAAGAGTTCTGTCTGCAAAAGCCAAATTTAGACAATCCTTTGACGGGAAAGCAGTATTCTGCGACCTTCTTTTCCTACCTTGATTTTTGCAAGGTTTTGGCTGATAAAGAAGAATTAAAGGAATATGTTCATTTAAATTTTGATGAGATTGCCTGTCAAAAAATTGAAGACAAAAGCTCTGACGAGGAGAAGCCAACAGATTCATATGCATTGATGATCTACAAGGCGCTTGAGAGTGCTCCCGAGGGCAGACTTACTCTGGCCGAGATCTATGCCTGGATAGAAAGCCATTATCCATACTACCAGACGGCAGATCAGGTTTGGAAAAACTCCATTAGACACAACCTGTCTTTGAACCCAACATTCAAGAAGATCCCCAGGCCAATGAACTCGAAAGGAAAAGGCGGCTACTGGGCGATTGATCCGTCCCAGAGACAAGGTAAACTACTAAAGAATAGAAGACAAAAAGCTCCAGACAGCCATGTCTCAAGCGATATTTTAAGTTTAAATGCAGGAAGTATGGTTTTCTAAGGCAAATAAATGTGAATTTAATCGATAAGTTTGTGCATAATTCTTTTTGCAAGCTTCCTTAAATGGATAAGATTTACCAAATATGGAAACAGGTATGGCTCGTGCCACGTGCATGTGTGTTAATCCAGGCTAGTTTTCTGTCTGTGCCAGTATTTTCTCCGTCGTAAAAATTTCCAAAAATTTTTACAACTTCAAAAAAAATTTATCTTGCCAAAAATCAGAAAATCTAAAATCATCATGATAGCAGATTGCAAACTGTTCCGATCATTTGCTCTTTGTTGGCCTTTCCATCTGAGGCCAATATGAATATGGCAAGGTTTAAGCAAAAGAGAAGATGGGTGCCTAAATCTGTGGTTTGCTGTCTTATACAATAAAATGACACAATTCTCGTTCTTGCACATAAAATGCAGTATGGCTGCTGCTCTCAACATTTCAATTTTGGTAGTTTCTAAGTACTGCTGTCTAAAATGAAATGCCAAGTGCAGCACAGAAATGAATTCGTGTGCTGACAGAAGCACTGTCTGTAAACAATACCTTTTAAACTTTTTTGATCCATCAATCTGATCATCAAATCATTTTGGAATTGAAGCCATATTTAATAAAAATAAAACATATGAAATAGTGAGGTTAGGCATTTCTAGACGTCTTTATTCCAATCGTGTAAACTACTTTTTTCTTTTCATCTCCATTTTGGCAATTGTATGCCAAGACTTGAAACTCGAATCCAGAAATTTCTAGGACCATCTCGATAATACCTGCAACTACCGCACTTGCACAAAAGGAGGGATCCTGGTAGTCAAAGTCCTCAAATGCGGGGCTGCTTTCATGAATGTAGAATGGCAGTGCTGGGTCTTCGCCCTTTGCAATTTCCCTGTCTGCAGGGTACAAGCAAGGAAGCAAAACGAACACGATTCTATAAACAAGCGAGTCCAGATCCCTATCTCTCTTGAAGCGTGTTAGAAGAGCTATTCTCTGTCCAATGTCTCTGCCCAGGAAGCTCAGCTGTTGTTCCAGCTTTCCCCCGTCTCCCTTTTGAAGATATTTGAAAAGTCCGCAGATGAAGTACTTGGTAAACAAACTTTTCATCTTGGGCCTCAACCGCATGGCAACTCGATTTAGTTGATGCAGCCCATCTTTACCTCACATCAGCAATAAATACCACTCCATTTAAATTAAAAACCATTTTGATTCTTGCTCGTAAAATATTTTTCATGTGCAAGAAAAACTTTATAGAGTATCTCAACAGCATAAAAAAGCCATGGAAGTTTCTTGCGCCGATGGTGGGAAACTGCGAACAGGCCTATAGAATACTTGCTCGCAAATATGGAGCTGATGTCTGCTACACTGAGATGGTGAACTGTAAAGTGTTCAATAGAAGTAAGTGTAATCCAGTAGACAACATATGGTACAGCACTAGCAACATAGATAGACCTCTCGTAGTACAGATCTGCGGAGATGACCCGGAAGCCATGCTGCAGACGTGTCTTTCTGTACAAGACTGCTGCGATGCTATAGATATAAATTTCGGGTGTCCTCAGGACGTGGCAAAAAGAGGGCACTATGGATCATACTTGCAGGACGAGTGGGATCTTATTTCCAGAATAGTTTCCACATGTACCTTGGGGATCAAAATTCCATTGTTTTGTAAAATCCGTGTTTTTGACTCGATTGAAAAAACAGTTGAATATGCAAAAATTTTTGAAAAAGCAGGTGCGAGCCTGCTGGTAGTCCATGGCAGAACAAGAGAACAAAAAGGCGTCAACACTGGCCTTGCAAGCTGGGAGCATATTAGAGCTGTTAAGGCTGCGCTAAATATTCCTGTTGTGGCTAATGGAAACATGATACTCCATGGCGACATTCAAAGATGCTGGGAGCATACAGGCTGCGATGGTGTAATGATTGCTGAGCCCCATCTTTTTAATCCAAGTATATTTGCTGGCCAGAGGATATCGTCACTTTCTATATTCTGCGACTATTTAAACATTGTTAAGTCAAATACAAACCTATTTGTGAATGGCGATGCAAAGTCGCATTGCTTTAAGATATTCAACACATTGCTAACTAAGATTCCAAGTTTAAGAACTGTTCTTGACAAGTCAAGGTCCTTGGATGACTATTTTGAGTTTTGTAGGCTTGTTGAAGACATGCTTAAGCAGAGCAAAATTGCAGAGGGTGATTTGGCGATGCACCCATACATTAGGAACCGTGATGTGCAGAGTATGAATAATGGCACATAGTATTATGGAGCTAGCTTCAAGAATACACACGAGTGGGCACTATCCAGCTGGCTTTTTGTTTGGAATATAAAAATACCCAATTCAGTCTGCCAATCTGGACTTTCGATAGCTCTTTATTTGAAAAATATTCTTGCCCATGGATGAAGATGAGAAGTCGGGAAGTGTCTCCACTGAGGAGTCGTCGTCCGAAGTTTCGTTGGAATTGGTTGTTGATAAGTCTAAAACAATGAAGATACAGGCGGAGAGTGGAGTGGATATGAATCTCTACGACTTTGACTTAGACACGATCAAAGACAAGCCTTGGTTAAAGCCGGGAGCAGACATAACAGACTATTTTAACTATGGATTTACAGAAAAAACCTGGAAGAAGTACTGTGATATGCAGAGAGAAATCCGAGGGTTTGTTGAAAGAGAGGAAAGCAATATGAGTCGTAACGAAAGAGATCACAGATACGACCAAAGACCAGACGATAGATATGGAAAGAGAAGAAGAATAGAAGGAGATAGATATGCCAGAGGATATGGCAGAAGATACTACTGATGATAGATGCCGTGCACAGCTTTGGAATGACTACGCGCGTTGTATACCATATTTGACTGCTAAAATTAGTGCAGAAAGGCAGAAGCTTGTCCAATAGAATTAAAATATGTTTGGCCAAATTTGTGTCATTGTTCTAAGGCTATTTTTACATTCAGCATTTCATAAGCTGTTCTCTTAGCTTGTTGGCAGAATGTCGAATATCTTAAAATTGGCGTTTGTAATAGACTACAAAACTGACTGGTGCACAAATGGAGTTGTCGTTTACGATAAGCATTGGTTCATCTTCCTGTTGTTCTTACATACACTTTGAACACCCATGCTCTTCACAAAAAACAACTCCTGGCTTCTTATGCAGCTTTCATCGCCAACTTTGAAACCTTTGAGATTCTGTTACGTGCAGGACATTGCAAATCTCAAAAAAGGTATATTGGTCATCACCGATGGTGCATACTTCATAAGGTCTACCTTTATGAGCAACTCATATTCAAACATGATAAGGACGTACCGAGAGGATAGCTTGGCACTCAAGGGCAGCATCTTAATGTTAAGGAGCTATGCCCTGGTGGTGGCTGCCAATGGAAAAATAGAGCTGAATGTCGAAGAATGCATCTACATGGGTGAAGGAAGCCTTTCTGGCGAAACAAGAGATATTAATTCTTGCGTTGAAGAGAAAAATGCGTTTCTAACTAGAAATCTCCGGACGGTACACCCGCTACAACAAAGTATTGTGTACAGCTTCATTAATCTGAAAAACGAGGAAAAACAAGCCGAATTTAAAGATGTTAACTCAACAGTTTTGACTAAAGATGGTCGTTGTGAACTAGCAAACGATCAAAACGCAGTTAAAAGCAGCCAGCATGATGGGTGTATTCCAAAAAGAAAATTTGCTATTAATATGCCAGATGGGGATAATATTGCCAAAAAAGCTAAAGCCCAAAGAGGAGCTGCAAGTAAACCAAGAAGAAAAATGAATGCTGCAAGCAAACAGACCAGCATAAAAAATAGTATTGATATTAGCAGACAAGCTAGCAAAGAGTTGGAGAAACAGGCAGCAGCCTATATCAAAAATATAAGAAAGGGAGTGGTCTACAAGAAGCCAACAATCCAAATTAAAAGCACAAGTAAGAATGCAGAGCTAGGCTTCGGATCGATAAAGATTGACGAAATCGCTTTAAGCTATTTAATAAAAATGAATGAGAATGCAAAAATCAGCTATATTAAAAAATCAACCACGAGCCTGTGTGTTTGTGATGGAAGCGTGCAGTCACTTGCATTAGACAGAAAAGCGGATACACGCATTTCACTTACTAGGAAGCCACAAAGGGAGTGTCTGAATCTAAAATACGTAGCTTCGGGGTCTGATATAAATCAAACTATAGGCGTTGAAGACCCAGTGAAAATAAATATCTCCATTCGGCCTGGTGTGTTACCACCAAGAAACGCGAACAGTGGAATGCAGCAGAGCTGGCCTGCTGCAGTCTTTGAAGATTCTACTCCGGACTATGAAGGCCTATCATCGATTCTAGACTCCAGTGTGGATATGAAGCACGAAGAGGCAGCAAATGAGCCGCACAAGAACTGTGCACTACATGGCAGGATGGCCAAACCACGCCAGCGACAAACAGACCCCTCGATGTTCAGGGAGCCATTCTCACTACTGAATACCCTAAACCCAGGTTCTTCTGCAGCTTTACAGGAAGCTCGCGATTCCAGGCCAATTTCGCTAGAAGAGAAAGAAGTTCTCAAGAACAGCTGTGTATTCGCCATGGACTTTTTGGATCCAGAGCTGGCTGACATTGGCCGCTCTTGTATTGATTTCAATATTGACGAGCAAGAAAGGCATGCCGGAAAATGACTTTATCGGCTCCATTGAATATTACTATGCATAGACATTCCTGCCGATAGAATATGTTATATGCTTTGGTGGCATTTAAAAATAAATAGAGAAATACCTTCAAATTACCAGAAACTACCATTTCTACTCTAGAAAACTATTTGTTAAAATCAAATTGTTTAATTTAACGGTATCTCTTAAGTGAAAGAGTGTTGTTCCTTCTCCAGCATGCTCTTCTTGATCCGCCTATCGTATTGTTATACTTGGGTCCCTTGCCAAGTCCTCTGCTCTTCTTTGACGCAGAGGTAAGGCCTCTGCACTCTCTGTGCTTCTGAACAGCATTGCAAATCCAGTTTATCTTTGGATCATTACGGATGCACTCCTGGTTGGGATCAACACAGATAACCTCAAAATACTTGTACATGTAGTCCTGTCCAACCCAATATGAATTAAGAACTCTTAAATTAGCACATGTCTTTCCAACAAGTATCTCTGCCTCGGCTTGTTTTCTCAACGCAGGCTTGATTTCATGGAGACCCGCATTGACACACTTGCCCCTTGTGTTACCGTTATTATACTTGAGATAGCGAGGATAGTTTCCTTTCTTAACCCTGACATTATAGATGCAGTATCCCTTCTTTGCCTTGTATCCCAGAACGCGCGCTCTCTCCAGAAACGATGGTCTTTCCTTGCGATGCACTGGGTCCCTCTGACGAGCTTCAACAATGCTGAGTCTGAAAAGATATCTCATTACATCGGATTGCTTTTTCCTATGGATCTCTCTTAAAATTGAAGTGAAGCTCATTCTGAGGGCTTGGAATTTTGAACAAAAATTTTCTGAAAATTTTTAAAGAAGAAGCAAGTCCCAAGGAAGCTCTGCATAAGTTTTGAATATAAACCAATGATGCATCAGGCCAAGATAACTTCCACCGTATAGTTTCCAAGTCGATGCTTGATTTAGTTTATCATTTCGTCCCTAAATGTGCCCTAAATGGACATACAGTTTTGCAGAGACTGCAACAATCTCATGAGTCCAAAAATAGAGTCTGGGAATCTGCTGTACATTTGCGGAAAGTGCGAAACAGTCAGCGAGTCGGATAGTCCTGTTATATCTTCGATTGACTTCAAGAAGCGCCACGATTCAAATGCCTCATACAAGCATGATCTTGTGCATGACAGGACACTTCCAAGACTGGATATAAAGTGTTTGAGATGCGGTAATACAGAGTGTTTGGGATACATAGAAAAGAACGAGGAGAGGGCTCTGAATTTTTACTATGTGTGCACGGTGTGTTTTAATGAATGGACAGACTAAGCTTTGATTGAAGGATGGCCAAGATTCGAGCATGCTCTTGCACTTTAAAATAAATACATTTTGTATACCTGAGTCTTACCTAAATTTCCTTGATCTAAATGGCCGAAGTCTGCCGAACTTAGTGTTAGAAAGGCTTGCACCTGCTAAACATTCCCATTGGCAGTCTTGGCTTTCCTTACAAACTCATCAAAATTCTGGTCCAAAAGATCTCCAGCCTCGGTGTTCAGTGCATCCTCACCGCTTAAATATTCAAAGCTGCACAGCAGACTGATTATTATGCTATTCAAATCATATGTGGGCATCCACCCCTCCCTTAGAACCTTCAGACACACATGTCCTTCGGAATCTATATTTGGATGAAATACTTTTGTTTTACAGCTTAGCTTGGGACTTTTGAACGGATATTCCTTTGGGAATTCTAGTTCAAATTTGAATGTCCCGTTGTAAATTCTGGTGTGGATCTCTAGCTTGAACACGAGTCTATTTCCATTTAACTCGTAGTCGAGTGGTATTGCGAGATTTTCCAGATCGTTGCATATTCGTGCGTGGAAGAATGACATTCACCGAAGGGATGAGCTCCCACATTATTGCATAATCACATTGAAGTTGCTGTGGGTTTTACGCCATAGCCTTGATTGCTTAGCTTTTGAGGTTATTGAGCTTTGAATTCGGTGCTTCGTTCATTTAATGTAAAAGCATTATGCAGTAAAATTGTAAAACCTTATGTAGAGCATAAATTGGATTGCCAGAGCCTTATGATTCCTTGCCGGTGTAGTTTGGCACCGCGACAGACAATACCTCTCAAATGAGCATGCACTCAAACACTAAAAATAGAAAGAAGAGTAAAGCCTACTTGATGCAAGAGGTAGGCATTTATGCACAGGATGGTCTATGGAAATGCCAACATATTAAATGGGTCAAGACACTACAGAAAATCTGGTAGAATGAAAATAGGAGAAACACTTGTAGCCAACTCCGAGATTCTAATAGACAAAGCTACTCAGGCTAGCTATGTGCTTAGTAGTTATCTATTCGATTAACGTTGCAGGCGATCAGTGCTCTGACCCTGGAGATGTTATGGCTTTGGGTGGTTAGTTTTCCAGTCTTTCCATTGGACGATTTATAATTATTACATTACTTTTATTAAATATTAAAGAGTCTTTAAATGCTTTAACCGTACTTCTGATCTTTTGTTGTAGCTGATGATATTTTGGGGTCCCCAATGGGCAGCCTGCCATGGTTCATAAAATACAGGCCATCTAAATTTACAGAACTCTACTTCCCGGACGACTCGGGATTCAAACTTTTACAATGGCTCAGGAATGCACAACAAGGATCCATTCTAAATCTTTTCGGCGCAGTTGGGACTGGAAAGACAAGCTTGGTGTATGCTGTTGCAAAAGCACTCAAGTATAGGGTAATTGAATACGATACCATTCAAGACAAGGATCCAAAAGATGTAGGTAAATCAAAGAGTATCGAGGGCCTAAAACCTTTAATTTTAGTGAACGAATCTGACGTTCCCATTTCAGTAGTTCATCAAAAATTTCATAATTTGAATGCACCAGTAATCTTCACAACATCAAACACCCTGGCTAGAGACGTGGAGTCTCTCAAAATACACTCTCCGAGCAGTGAAATAATTTTGAATTCTGTGAGGAGCATTTTGAAAAGCGAAAACAGATGGCTGGACGATAGATTCATTTTGAGACTGTGTGAGGCTTGCAGCTACGACTTTAGATCGGTTATAAACTATTGCCAGGTGTTCTCAAGATCTTCTGAAATCAAAGACCTGGCGATGGTTGAGAAGATTGCTTCTCAAAATATAACATCCGCATGCAGGTTGATATTAAGCAAGCGAATGTCCCTACGGGAGTTGGAGACTCTGTACTCAGAAAAGCTTTTAGACTTGTGCCTATCATCCGTTTTAGAGAACAGCAAAGACGTTGGCCTATTGAAAGCAATTGAGTCAGTATCCGAGCTTGCAAGCTTCCCAGAAAGGCTTAAGTTCTTGTCTATTGATGGGTTGAACAAACTTAGGTCGGACTTTATTTATAAGAAAGAGGATGCATTGCCAGCAGAAAATTTTCATGGGCATGAAGATCCACTGCAGTACTTGCCTCTCTACCATAGAAATTTGCAAAACAAGCAGAGTGTTTTGCATTTGCAGGCAATATTTAACAAATATCAAATAAAGGATTTGCCAGCAGTTGACCAGGAAATTAAGGACCATATCGGACTGACAAGTATTGATACACGAGTGCTGAAGTATAAACACAGTCTGGGATCATCCTCAGCTGTTAAAAGAGACATTTCCCTGAAAGAACTGTTGGATTTATAGCCAGCAATGATACCCTGTTGGCATTAAATGTGCTTCAATTTGGACAAGTCATATATTAAATTAAAAATTTTTAAATAAAATTTTTATCCGACCGGAAAGCAATTCATCGAAAGAATACACATGGTCACGGGGTTTTACAAGCCGTATGCAGGTAGCATCCTTGGCTGCTGCCATTTTTGTACTCCTAAGTCGAAACACAATTTTAGCTCACCCACCACGAGATGAGATGGAGAGTCCACACTTCTGGAAAAATTCAGATAAACACAAAGACGTGGATGTCTTTTATTTCAACACTGGCATGCATAACTTGGACAATCAGGAAGTGCTTTTACGTTGCTGTGTTCTCTGTTTTTTGGACTTTTTTAGGCAAAAAGTATAACCAGAAAAAGTAATACGGTAATGAATGATGTCGTAAAACTCTTTGGGAATAGGCAAATTCCAGATGGTGCTCTTGTAAAAACTATGGTCTTGTTTTGTATTCTCGAGTGCCTTTCAAAATCAATTATCTACTGGATTAGACCCATTTTTGAAACTACCTTGATGATTGAAATCGAGTCTATTTTGTTCAAAAGCTGCATTTGCCTGGATTTTGAAAAGTTCTTTGAAAATGGGCCCGCATTAAATTGCGCCAAAATATACCGGCATTCAGCAGCAATTAAAGAAAGTGCAAGCATGCTTGTGTTCGATCTGCTTGGAAGTGCTGTGGGGCTGTGCTCGTCGGCATCGTACTTATATGGAATAATGGAACCTGAAATACTTGGGAGGTTACTGGCGTGTCTTGCACTTGCCACTTGCATCGAGGTAGTACTTTTCAGAAAATTGAAGTTGCTAAAGGAAGAGTGTGTCAAAATTGATGAAACTAGAGCGGAAGAAATGACAGAGTGCTTTGAAAATTTTTTCATATCAAAAGTCACAAACACAAACGAGCATGCTAGAATGAGCAGACTCTTTACGTCGGATGCACTCCTGAGATACTCGATTTTAACAGGATTGCTGAAACTACAAAATCAACTGACGACCTGTGCAATCAATTCATACATACTTTTGTGCAGCAATGCTGCAAGGTCCGTGCCAATTTCAGCAATCAGGGAACTCTTTAATGTCTCAAAGTCTCTGCGTAATTTAGTTGACAGCTTCTTTGAGCTAGAATCGATGAGAATTGAGGTTGAGGACCTTGAAGACATAAGCATCACGGCATCAAGTGGCAAACACCATCTGATGCCTAAAGACAGCGGTTGCATTCGAGCAATGCCCCAAGGTCGAAGCGATAATGGTGTGGTTGAAAAATCACCAGTACTGCTTCCAATACACCTGCAGCCTGGGATCCCATCCAAGGCTTTTGTCAGGCTGGCTGGCTTGACAATATTCATACAAAGGATTCCAATATTGGCCGTTCCACACCTTGAAATTTTATGCAACCAGAAAATAGCCCTTGTTGGAAAAAATGGAAGTGGAAAAACAACGTTTCTAAAATTTTTCCTTGGATTTTTTAAGTTCAACGGCAGTGTTGAGGTAGAAAATGCCCCGGTTTTCAATATTTCTGAAAGGTTTCTTCCAATAATCTCATACATTCCACAAAACACATACCTTAATGGCACCGTCTATGATGAGCTAAGAGAAAACATCCAATCAGACGAGGAAATGATAAAGATTTCAAAAATTTTTGGTGCCCACGACTTTATTAAGACGATACCGACAAAGTACTGGACTTCTGTTTCGAAGCTAAGTGAAAGCGAGAGGCAAATGGTTAAAATAATCAAGAACTGCTCAAAGAAAGCCATGCTGCTACTTGCAGACGAACCTATGTACTGTCTAGCAGACGAGGTACAGGACAAGGCACTTGATACCATCCTCTCAAGTCCTAACCATTCAACAAAATTGATTGTAATACACCACAAAAGTCAAATTAATAAGTTTGATAAGGTTTTGTACTTTGAAAATCAAAAAATTTTGGCTTTCACGCCCGCGGAATATTTTGAGTACATCAAAAAGAAAGACAACAGTCTCTAAGCCTTGTCTCGGCTTCTTTTACGGTGGAACTTCCAGCCTTGGCGTCGATTTCTTGTGTCATTCATTTATTTCATTTTTCTGGTTGGTCTTGCTGTGTTTGGTTTTGTGCCTATCTTTGCTTTTGGTATTAAATCAGGTATGATTTCAAATGTGGTGTCCCATTTCTGTGTCCAAACATACTCCTGCACTCTAGCTTTGTCAGATATGCTTTTAAACTCAAAGATTTTATCTAAATCCGTCTCTATGGTAAACTTCTTGTTGACTGATTTTATAAAGCTAAGATACTTTACTGGAATTACAAAGCCCAGTGAGTGTGCTCGTCCTTTGTACAATGCTGTGTGGTTAGTGAAAAGCACAATGTTAAAGGAGTCGTTCAAAAGACAAGTCAGGTCTCTGCATTTAAAACACAGTCCTGTCCCGCCGACCAGGAGCATTTTGGGGCTGGGCAAAGTTTCTCAGGAGAAAATTTTTGGTATTTGGGCAGACGATGAAAGTGCTAGTTTAACGAAGAAGATGTGTTCATTTCTCGCCTATTCCAGTCAATCTTTCTTTGAGTGTTTATCCTTTGCAAGCCACATCGTCTGCCAGAATCCTTCTTCTTCAACTTTAATATTTTCATCAAAATCTATGATCATGTTCTTTTCAAATGAGGGGTCGGATTCGTAAAAAGTAGTAAAATCAGCATAACTCAAATACCCTTTTTTGCCCCTGTCAAAAGCGTTAAGGACTTCGTCTATTTTTGCTTCATCTTCCTTTTTTGTCATCAAATAAAGCACCTGCGACAGGTCTTTTCTTGAGAGGCTTTTGTCTCCATCAAAGTCAAAAAGATTAAACAGAAACGAAATTCTCTCTTCTTTTGGCGTTTTCATGTGGAAAAGCTCCAAAAACTCAAGATAGCTTGCAAAACTAACTTTTTCAAAGCTGTTCCGGCTTTCCAAACAGTTTATAAGAAGCTTCGAAAATGGGTTCGAGTAAAACTCTGGAATCATTTGAAACTCGGCAAAGGTGAGAAAACCAGTATTGCTTCTGTCAAGGTACTTAAAACGCTCATAAAGAGACTCGATTTCCAGGGCAGTAAAGATGGTGTTTTTCTCCAACTCTTCTATTTCCTCTTCACAGAGTGTGTTCACATGCCAGAGACTCATTTGGGATGAGCTTCTGAACATGAAAATTTTTAAACATAAAGGATAATCGTGTCAAAACGATCATTAAATACGCACTTTTGATTTAATGTTTTAACGGTGGTCTACAAAAGACAGCTGTTTTATTCAAAACACTACACACAGCAGTTGGACGAATTGTCACAGTAAGCCTTAAATGCCATAGCCGGCCCTATTCACTCCTTCAAAGGCGTCTTAATAGACTCACCCACTCTGAATATCCTGGCAAATAGGTTTTCCTTGTCAGAACGGTGATTCTTGAAAAAACTGGCTTTGAACTTTTGAATCATCGTCTTGGACAGATTTTCCCAGTAGCACAACGCAAGCTTAAACTCTTCTTTCATGCATTTCACGTCCGAAACAAGTGAGTTTTGAAGCTTTATCTGCTCTCTCTTCAAAATTGATATGTTCAGGTCCTTGTATGAGATCCCACGAAGAACCTGTCTTCTGAGAAACAGCTCGTAGTCCCTTATTATCCTTGTAATGAGACCTGTTGTCGATATCTTTCTTGCTCTTTTTGTCGGAATAAACATCCCCTTGCTCTTCACAAGTTCATAGACATCGTTTGTGCCAATGTGGGCATACGGCAGTTCATCGTGAGCTACATAGTCAATCCTGTGCTTCTCCAAAAACTCCATGTCAAGGACCCACGGGGCATCCTCTATAACTTCGTCTACATATTTGCAGTGCAGTACACTCTCGTACCTCTCCCTCTCACTCATAACCAAACTTCCCTTGAACTTCGTAGTGAGCTCGTCACTGCAGATCCCAACAATCACTTGGACGTTTGGGAAGAGGGCCTTGACTTGCGAAAACAGCCTGGCATGGCCATAGTGAAAAAGATCGAAAATTCCATCGCAGTATATTCGCACATGTCTGTCCACTGGTATTTTGTATTCCTTTTCTGCAAAGATCACATCTTCGTACCTGTCATCGGTCGGGTAATTCGGCTTTGCAAGAATAAATTCCCTTTTCAGCATTGTGGGCATACAAATAAAAGTTCTTATAAACAATCAAAAAGCTATGAAAAATTGAAATATTTGAACAAATAAAATAGTCTCGATGAGACACTTTAAGCGGTATTTAAGAGAAAATCACACCCTAAAATGGTCGAGAATGTACTACTATTTAACCTTAATATTGACAGATGAAACGCAGCCAACAAATCTAAAAATTGCCAATAGTATCAAAATGCATTGCTAATGATTTATTTTTTATGTCAACGTGTGCATAAATGAAAGCTTTGACTTTTAACCAACCTTGAAGCAAATTGGGAACTGAGCCGTTTAAAATATGCCTTATGTCTAATTAAATCAAACTAACTCTCAAAGTCTTTTAATTATGTTGTTGGGAAATGCCAGCTGCATACTTGCTACAACCTTGGACTGGCCATCACTCTATGCTGAAGCATTGCATTACTACAGCATTTCTTTGCTTAATCTGGTACTTTTATGCTAAGCTTAGTCAATTATTTGGGCTTTGCTTGGCTACTCACCACTCTTTTTCAGCACCGAATGTAAAAACTCAGGCGCCTCGCCCAGAAAGCATATCCTGTGTATTGCCTGGAAAACAGGAAAGTTGCGAATCTCCATGTTGTTGGCTTCCAGCCAGCTGTTTATCATCATAACAGTCTCCGGCCCTTCAAGCTTCTGTCCGCCCATCTTTTTCTCTATCTCCGCACTTTTGCATCGGTCCTTGGCCATTTGCATTCCACACCTGAAATTCCTACCATTCAGACAGCTGGTCAACAAATCTCCGATACAGCAACTCTCCAGCACTAAAAACTTTCCTTTCATAAGCTTACAAAACCTCTCCATCTCGACAAGACCCTTTCTAAACAGCATGGCCTTTGTGTTCGATCCCCACTCCATGCCCTCAATAATTCCAAATCCCAAACTGACAATGTTCTTTAACGCTGCACAGATCTCAATCCCAATGTCATGTGGAATAATTCTAGGCCTAAAATAGTCATTGTCAAACATCCACTCAAGACAGTTAATCTGGTCTTTATCGGTGTATCCCACCGTACATTCCGATAGCTGCTCGGTGGCCACTTCAATTGCAATATTCGCACCACATAGACTGGCACACTCAATTTTAAGAATACTTTCTATGTATTCACTGGGTGTGTATAGCTTTTCATCTTTCAATATCAGTCCTTTAGACAAGTTTATTGCAAAAGATCCCTTTTTTGGCTTGATCTCCTTAATTGTATCTAAAAACTTGCACGGTAAGCAAATCACAAAAATATCTGCTTCGTTGATCTCATCAAAGCTAGTCACTGCTCTGATATTGTCTGGCAATCTTACTCCAGGAAGATAAATCGGATTTGTCCTGAGTGCGTTGATATACTCTGACAGCTTCTGGTGTTGGTACATCTCCTCGTGCACCCAAAGCAGCAACTCCGAATCAAAATCTTGTGTTGCAGTAATGTTATTTGCTATGAGCCTAGATACTGTTGTTCCCCAGTTTCCATTTCCTATTACTGCTACTTTTTTCATATGATCCTGCTTCAAGAATTGTTTAAATGGGTGTTTTGGCATGTACCAATCAATTGAAGATGTCACGATCAACTAAAGCTGTTGTGATTGGATGAGTGCTTACCAATTGGTAAATTAATGATGGGCTTCTTATGCTATGCTTTTGTGCACACTCCGTAGCATATGCCAGCCTAATTTAGCATGCTAGTTGAGGTAAGCTATGTCATTGGTAGTTAAAGCATGTGAAAGATTTTATCCAAATAGGCTGCATCTGCGCTAGTTCATGGCACGACCAAGTTAGAATTAAGAAGTGGCACACGGCATGGTTGAGAACAAAAATGTATGTGGCAAAGCTTAATATTGCTTGTTTCAATAGAATTCTATGGCTAATTCACATATGAGTTTATTTGGCAAAATATTTACAACAGCCCGTTGTCTATTTCAAGAATGTAGGCCAGGTTGTATTTATTATAAGCCTGTGCTGTACTACTTCAAAAATTTGTGGGGATGCCCAGTATGCAGACTCAATTCTTCAATTATCAAGTATTGGACCAATCCAAACTGAATGAGCTAATATCAAATGAGAAGTGCATTGTAATCTATGATAAAAAACCAAATCTTGAGGCTTCCAATGTTTGCCTTTGTGATTTGAGCACTTTCAAAATCTCCTCTTGGAAAAGTAATTTCAACTTAGAACAGCGCGAGGTGGTTGTTTTCCAGTTAAAAAATTTTTCACCCGACGTTGTGGATAGCTTTTTTAGGAACGTTTACAAAAGAGTCATTATTTTCACAAGTGACACGGTGTTTAGGGATAAAATATTTGGAAATCCAACCTACAACACAAAGATTAATCTAATTCCAAATGCTGCATGTTATTTTCCTGTCGAGCTACAAAGCAATGAAGCATTTAAAGCTTTAATATCGAACTTAAAGAACCAAAGCAGTGATCTGAGCGGGAAGCACATTACGTACTTATATCACATCAGTGCATGCTATTATGAATTTTGTGCATTCAAGCATTTACAAATTTAATACTTTGAAGAAGCTAAGCCAAGCTTTACAAAACTCAGGAAAGCTCCTAACTGTCCTGTCAAACAATGATTTTGTCACTGACATCATCCCGTCAATTCCATCATCAAGAAAAATTATCAACAAGTCCATGTGTGTTTGTTTTGTATTCGATTTTGATGAATTGTTTGACTACTCTGGATTTTCTGAGTGTGTATTTTTCATTTCCCAGGCAGAAAATGCAAATAAAATACCACTTTCTGACGCTGTCACAGAATCGCAATTTGAGTTCTGCAGCAGCCTTCTTCAAAAGACTGGAATTCTCAGTTCCGATGAAGCTAGTGTTTTGAACAGGCTGTTCACACTTGCAAATTTTCGAACATATCTTTCGATAGACGAAGCAAAAAGGCTGTCTTTAATCCTTGACAAATCCATGTGTGATATAACACCATTTTCTTTTCTAAAATTGAAAGAAGTGTCTTGCGGGAATCTTCTGCTTCCCTTTATTTGTACCCGGCAGCTTTTAGACCATGTTCTAACTTCAATCAAAAATGCACTCGAACTGTCAAATTTATTTATCAGGTGCGTGCTTCCTACAATTACTTTTTCAGCAGGAGGATTTATGAGCAAAGAGGTTAGGGCTGAGATGTCCTTTCCTGGGTTGTTTGAGGACAGCTTTGTTAGTGATTTTCACATTGCCAAGAAAGAAGCGGTCTGTGATGTATCTTTAAAGTGTGTTTTGAATCTGATCAAGAAAGGGATTTTGGATGAAAACTTGGATGTAATCTCTGCCAATCTATTAGAATTGGGCACAGTTAAACAGCTATTCATTAAAGCGTACGGGACTAACGATGAAAATGAAATTTGTAGTATACGAAACGAGTTTATAAGTCTGTGTTCTGTTTCTGAAGATAAGGCAATTTTTGAAAGGAATGGACAGATAGTAATTCTCAAAAATGATTCTGCTGACATGGCTAACAGCCTTTTTAAAAGAAAGTACATGATCAATGCATTTGAACAAGAGAAACCAGGCATTACTCCTGAAGAAAATCAGACAGTTGATGGCAACCTTCACAGCTTCTTTCATGTGGACAGTCCAACAGCCAAGCTAGAAAGATTTTACAGAAAAATTCCCAAGAGTCTTTCCACTCAAACAAATATTCTTGCTCTTTACATATTCAGTAATTCTAAAACTGGTGTGCTGTGCGCAGAGTCCAGCAAAGAGTCGTGCTATTTGACCAACGATTTTAAAGAGAAAGTAAGGATATCATATAAAGGGACTAGAGCATATAGTGAAGATGAAATTAGACTGTTCAAGCTTTACCAAATAATATTTTTCAAGCTGCACAACGAAGTCATTCCTTCCAACGAGCAGGTGTTCAAGTTCTTCTACTTTGCTGTGCCGTTAGATATGAATGATCAAATTGATTGGACATACTTAGAGAAAATCCACAACGAGTTTCTTCTCGATCACGTGTGCAACAAAACAAGCGGGGATACTCTGATTTGGAATCCTTTTAGTCATGAATTCTACTTGTATGCTGATATGGCAGATAAAAGCCTTGAGGATAAAATTAACGGTATAACGTTTTTAAAGTTCTTTGAACAGAAATATCGAGTAAACCTGGCTGTTAAGCAAGGAAAGATGATGTTTAAGGCCCACTTGGTTGATAAATTATCTGCTCTGATTAGAAAGCATCTTAACATTGTGTGCAATAGTACTAATATTTCAAGGAATAGAGACCAAAATGAAAATGCCAATGAAAGCTCTAAAGCCTCATTGAAACCACCTAAAGCAGACGTGCAGTATTCCCTTTGCAATATTAGTATTCAAGATCCAACTAGCATGCTTAAGCATTCCGATTTTTACTCAAAAATACCGCTGAGTAGTCCAAAATTCCTTGGTGTTGATTCGTTAGTCATTTCCTCTGCTGAATGTTGCTTTGTAACGTCTGTAAAGACCAGCATCATCCAAGAAATAGAAATCTTCAAGAGAAACTACTTTTTATTGGAGAGTCTTTTTGTTGCCCACGACCTTAGAAAAGAGTACAACCTCAGCTTGGATCTAAATGAAATTGCTATATGCTTTAACCAGTTTGGTGAAAATCCCTGTGAAAACTACGAAAGGCTAGAATTTATCGGAGATTGTGTTTTGAAGTTTATCGCCACCAACTATTTTTATTTGTCTGGTCTTTCAATGGATGTAATTGTGTCTGTTAAGGACCACGTTGTCAGCAATCAAAGCTTATTTAAGCATTGCTTGGAAAGTGGAATTTACAAGTTTTTAAAAATCAATCATTTTACGCATAAAATGGTGCAAGCTCCGCACATTGAGGGTGTTGGCGATTTTTTGAAGTACTTTAATGCCGTTCCTATCTTTCGATCTGACAACTACAACCATGGAATCTCAAAAAACAACAGTGCAAGTGAACAGACAATCAAACAATACGCTGATATGATTGAGGCTCTTATTGGTGCCCAATATTTGAAGGGTGGTGTTGCTAGTTCTGCAGAGTTTATTTATCGACTAAACATACTAAAGCCCCTTGAGAATTTCATGCAAGCCCGTTGTGGCAGCATGGAAAATGAGTCTTTATTGGACACCATCAACTCTTCTAGAATTTCAATGTCTAAGCAATATACAGCTGAGGATATTGGCGAGATAAAAAGTAGAATACAGAAGGATATTGCCACCTACTACTCCGGGTCTCTAAACTTTGCCAGGCTTGAACGCATTACCGACAAACAAAGCTTGTTCTTCAACCAAACTTTTAAGCACTTTGAGTATGCTGGAATTTTGCCAGAGTCCGATATCAAGGCCATTGAAGATATAGTAGGATATCAGTACACAAACCCTGGAAATATAGAAAGAGCTCTTGTGCATCCATCATTTACAAATACACTTGGAAGCACTGACTTTCAGTGCTTAGAACTGATTGGTGACTGCTCTCTGGATTTGTTTGTTACCACCTTACTCTATCAGAACTCAAGTCTCAACACGCCTTTTCTTCTTCACTCGTCGAAGAAGTCATACGTTAATAATTCTTCGCTTTATGATTTTTTTCACAAGGCTTGTCTTGATAAGCATGTTAAGTGTGATCTCAAGCAAGGGGTGCGATCTAAAGCCCACAGTGACGTTGTGGAGGCACTTATTGGGTCGATATTGGTGGATTTGCAGTGGAACTATGAAAAGCTGTTTGAGGTTATGAACAGAAAGATAAAATTTATGCTTGAGGAATGTAAACAAGAGCTTAATTTTGATTGACAGCTATCAACGTTCTAAATTACATTGCATGTAATTTGTAAAAATAGTCAAGATTGTTGATATTAAAGATCTGTCTAATTTGTTGTAGTGTTGTAGGTATTTATGCCTGGAAATATGGCATTTAAATTTCCAATGGATTGATTGCCAAG